GGAGGAAGTATTTCAAGGCTGGGAGAGGTACCTGAACTTTGTTGATTCAAATCTGGGGCGTGTGTGGCTGTTTTGGAATCCTGACATTAAGCTCAAGGTGCTAAAACCGGGAAAGAATTATGTGCACTGTATAGTTGAAGACATTGATAGAAGCAGTTTCTTTTTAACAGCAGTCTATGCTGCAAATGATGAGGCAGAACGTAAGGCAACTTATGAGGACATAGCAAGGGTGAAAGTTGATGGTTATCCTTGGATTGTGGGGGGAGACTTCAATACAGTACGTGTACCAGCTGAAACATCAAATCTCTCCTGTGTGACCCAAAGTATGAATGACTTTAATGACTAGATAGGTACAATGGAGTTGCTGGATTATAGAATGACAGGACCACAGTTCACTTGGACTAATAGGAAGCTGAATAATCCTATTGCCAAGAAACTTGATAGGGCTCTGGTCAATATTAAGTGGATAGAATCTTACAAGGACTGTGCAATGGAGGTCTTCCCTGCAGGTTTCACTGATCACTGTGGGGTTCAAGTCAGTACTACAGCTTCTGTTACTTCTTATCCAAAACCATTTAAATATTTTGAGTTTTGGGCTGAGCATCCGTTGTTTCTAGAGGTGGTTGAGACAGCCTGGGCAAAAAAGGTTGAGGGTACACCTATGCAGATAGTACAAGGTAAACTGCGTGAAGTGAAACAAGCATTGAAAAAATATAATAAAGAGGTTTATGGGGAATTGCATAAACAAGTTGAAGAGGTTGCAGAGGAATTCAAGAGAGTACAAGTGCAGGCTCTCTCAGATCCTACAACTACTCATTTTGAAGCAGTCAAGGTATGTAAACAGAAATTGGATCAGATCAGTTTGGCATATGAAAATTTTTGTTGACAGAAGTCTAGGGTTTCATGGTTGACAGTAGGAGATACAAGTTCAGCATTCTTTCATCAAGCTGTGAAGATAAGAAACTCAAAAAGAGCTATTAGAAAGCTAATTACTGAGACTGGGGTAGAATTAACACAAACGGATCAGATAAGGGAGGAAGTTACATCTTACTACAAAAAATTGTTGGGTACTGCCAATCAGGACATCAAACCTGTGAAGGAAGAAGTAGAAGAGTTAGTTCAGCAAAAGTTGTCAGGGGCAGATTGTTTGTTTTTAAACCGTTCCATTACACCTGGAGAAGTGAAGGAAGCTGTATTTGCTATGAGTCCACAAAAGGCTCCAGGGCCATATGGGTTTTCTGCTGGCTTTTACAGGAGAACTTGGCATATCATAGGTGCTGATGTAACAAGAGGAGTGCTGCATTTCTTTCACACAGGTGCCATGCCTAGTGGTGTGAATTCCACTGCTGTCTCCTTGCTCCCAAAGGTACAAAATGCTGATACTTTAAAGAACTTCAGGCCAATATCTTGTGTGAATATATTGTATAAGATTGTGGCCAAAATACTTGCTAAGAGGATTAGAGAAGTGTTGCCAAAAGTCATAAGTGGTACTCAATCAGCCTTCATAAAAGGGAGGAATATAATGGATAATATTCTGTTGGCACAAGAACTGGTTAGTGGATATCATAGGTAAGATCTGTCTTCAAGATGTGCTATTAAAGTTGACATTATGAAAGCATTTGACTCGGTTAATTGGTCATATCTTTTCCTTATGATGGATTCTATGGGGTTTCCGGATCAGTTTATGAAATGGATTAAAAGTTGTCTTCAAACAGCCCATTACAGTATAAATGTAAATGGTAGTCTTTGTGGTTTTTTTAGAGCAAGGAAGGGGGTCAGGCAGGGTGATCCATTATCACCCTACCTTTTCACTATAGCCATGGAAGGGCTCACTTCACTGTTAATGAAGGCTGGACAAACAGGGGCAATTCCCTTTCATCCACAGTGTAGGAGGGTGTCTCTAAACCATGTCTGTTTTGCAGATGATATTTTGGTTTTCACAGTTGGTTCTGCACAGGCTATTTTGCAAGTTAAAGCAGTATTACAACATTTTTATCAGATATCGGGTCTGAATAGCAATCCAGCAAAGTGTGAGATTTATTTTGGTGGGGAATCAGTGATTTACAAGAGGAATGCATTGAATCTTTCTAGTTTCCAGGAGGGACAGCTCCCTGTTAGGTATCTGGGATTACCATTGATAACTGGCAAACTATCCTCAAAAGAAATTGATACTTTAGTGGATAAGCTTACAAAGAAGATGAAATCCTGGAGGGCAAAGAAGTTAACATATGCAGGTAGACTGCAATTACTTAATACTGTGCTGCTAGGTATTGTTAATTACTGGATGCAATTATTTGTACTGCCTAAACAAGTTTTCAAAAGAATCCAGCAGGTATGTTCACAATTCCTTTGGCATGGGATTGATGAGGGCAGAGCTAAAGTAGCTTGGAAGTTCATTGCTCTTCCTAAAAAAGAGGGGGGATTGGGAGTAAAAGATTTAGTGAGTTGGAATCAGGCTTGCACTATTAGATTGCTTTGGCTATTTCTGTTGAATTCTGGAACTCTATGGGTAGCTTGGATGCATGCATATAAATGTAGGCAGGGGGATCTATGGACAATGAAGATTTCCTACAACAGTTCCTGGACGTGGAGAAGATTGTTGAAGTTAAGATCTTTGATTCAAAGCTGGTTGCACAAATGCAATAATGATATGTACTGGGGGACAAAGTTGATGAAGAAATACTCAGTGCGTCAGGTTTGGGAGACAATAAGAAACAGGGAGGTTGAGGTACCTTGGTATAAGTTGGTGTGGTGTAAACCCTGTCCATTGAGGTACAGTTTCTTGACATGGCTTATAATTAGAAATTCTATTACTACTCGTGACAAGTTGTTGAGATGGGGGAAGATTACTGATGCTTCTTGCTTGTTATGTGGAGGGGCTACAGAATCAAGAGAGCATTTGTTTTTGCAATGCTTGTATTTACAACAGGTTTCCTCTACTTTCAGTTCCACTCTATTTCACTATGGTAATTGGGATGAAATGCTGAATGGTATGATGACTATAGTAAGCAGGGATTCAAAGCTGGGGCGATGGCATGCTATGATCTGGCGATGGCATCCTTATCCGAGAATGAAGCGGATAAGGACAAGTCACGTCGAGATTTACCTTCCCTACTCTTGGACTTTCATCCGAGTCTTCTTTTGACAGGTTTTAGTTCAGAAATAAGATACTTTTACCGACTTGATCAATACACTTGATGGATCTGGATATCGCCATTAGTCGTTGAATCTCGACTCTCGTGTTAATCTATTCTCAATGTACACATAAATGTGATGCAACATTATAGATATTGGAACTTGTTAGCATTTTTGTAATAACTTTGTGTTTATCATTATTTTGAATATCAAATGACTACATGTTCACTCTAATGTTTTCCAAGGGGAAAATTAGAAGTTTGGTAAAGTGATCACTTTGTTTCCCAACCTGTGTTATTGCCTAATCGAGATTGAGAAATCTCAAAAGTTTCGTGCTCTACCATAAAGCATTAAACAAGATTGGCATTAGGACTAAGTATCGTCCCAAGCTAATTAGTAGTTAAGCAGTGATTGAAACTCATAGCACATGAACCAGCCCCACAGCCGTCCATGATCATCAACCATGCTTGAAAACGACATTAGGGATGGCGATTTGAATTCAGTCCGTCGGGTATTACCTGACCTGACTCGTGATGGGACGGGACATGTGTATCTACTTTTGACCTGCTCTGCCCTGTCCAACCCAATTTTTGACTCATTCTCTCTCAATTTCTTATCCTATATATTTATATTTATCATATTTTGACTTGATCTTTCAACTAGTTAGACTCAATATAATTTTTCTAATAGACTTAGATTTAATATAATTACCCATTCTATTATCACTATTTTTAATTTATTAAGTATTTCCCCTTTATTTTTTCATGAAAAGTAAAATTTACGTATATATTTCAAATGACAGGTAAGCACAAGTATTTCCCGCCCCGACTCACAGTAACATGAGACGGAACATGAATATTGATATACCCGCCCGCCCACGTCATTGCCATCACTAAATGACATCTCCTAATTACCAATCCAAAGCCAGCCTTTCTCTAGTACCCCTTATTAGTATAAAGCTGCCAAATTCATCTTTGGCTAATGAACTTAGAATAACAAAAGGGGAAAATGCAAACGTACGTCTTTATTAATAAACAAATTCATGATAGTGCTCTCTTCTCCTTTCTCTTTTGACCTGTCCGATCATACAAATTAAGCACATAATTTTTGTAGGGATTGAAATCATTGAATTGAACGGACTTGTTGTGCACTACTGGACCACTTGTTTAGAGGGTAGCCGTAGGCCAGTTCACCATCTTTTCTGGCATATATGCTGTGCATGCAACTGGAGGGCTCACCTACCCTTCAACTCAAAGGCTAACGCGTCCTCCCGACCGACCCCTGTCTTGTCTTTTTGCTAAGCCTAACACAGATTCATCATTCGTTTCTTCTTCCAATTTCATGCCCACAGCAATGAATTGAAAATTCCAAAGCAATCATTGTGGTGGGCTAACTTGTTCCACAAATGAATCCCACAAATTAAGTAGTTCTGCTTCCCACAAAGTATTCAGGGAGACTACTACCTCAATGTAATTCAAATCAACCCACTTGTTTAAGCTAAAACTCCTAACGGTGCGTTTCGATAGGTATATTATATTTCAAATGTATATAAATTTTTAAAATGAATGCATTTGAAATTCTAGTATTTGAAAAATGCATTGTTTGTATGCTTATTTGTAATTTGTTTTGAATTTCAGAATTTTATTTTATTTTCTGGTCACTTATTACAAATTTTGGTGCCCAAAATTATTTTTTCTTATAATTTAGTACCTAAACTTTTAAAATTTTACAAAAGCTCCAGAAACTTTGGTGGTAACTTTACATTTCGGTACCTTTATATGTTTAACCTCACACTATAGTACCTAAATTTTTAAAATTTTACAAATGGGTCCACTCTTTTGTTAGGAGGAATTTCACAAAACAATCCATCTTTTTCTGGTTTATTCGTTTTGTAATGAAAAGTATAGGGTTTTGTCACCTCGCCAACAATCTCTCCATTCGGTAGGATTTTTTTGGCCCAAGCGCTTATTTGTTGAGGCGAAACCAATCCAATTCGGAGTTGTTGATGTTTATACCGATCGATCATAGAAGAAAATTTCTGATTCATTCCGATTAAGCTTCCTTCCTATTAATCTGGAAGTTCTTCTCAGATACAAGGAAATGATTCAGTTCCAGAGCCAAAGATCGTAATTCTCGAACGAGCAATCGAAAGGATTCTGGAGCATCTTCCGGTTTAGGCACTGCTCCTCCAATGATCGTAGTACCAAGAACTTCTTGGCGAGCTCTAATATGATCCGATTTATAAGTAAGCATCTCTTGTAAAATATGAGAAACACCAAATCCCTCTAGAGCCCAAACCTCCATTTCTCCTACCCGTTGACCCCCTTGCTTGGCCCTTCCTCTAAGGGGTTGTTGTGTAACAAGTGCATAATGCCCGCTGGAACGTCCATGTATTTTATCATCAACTTGATGAATTAACTTTAATATATAAGACTTTCCTATTATAACAGGCCGTTCAAAAGGATCTCCCGTTCTTCCATCAAATATTATACTTTTTCCCGGGAATTCGGGTTCAAATACCCACGGATTTGCTGTTTGTTTACTGGCTTCATATAATTCAGAAAACACAAGTTTTCTTGAAGCCTCTTGCTCATATCTCTCATCAAACGGTGCTATGCGATAATGTGTATCTAGCAGACCTCCCGCTATCCCAAGGGAGCATTCAAATATCTGTCCTACATTCATTCGTGAAGGCACCCCTAACGGATTGAAGACCATATCAACTGGTCTTCCATCTTGCAAATAAGGCATATCTTGTCTAGGCAAAATTTTTGAAATGATGCCTTTATTCCCATGTCTTCCAGCTACTTTATCGCCGACTTTGATTTCACGTTTTTGTAATATATATACACGAATCGTTTCTGGATTATAGCTGGAACCCCCCCGTTTCCTGATCCATCTCACATCAATCACTCGACCCCTACCACCTATAGGTAGTTTTAGACAGGTTTCCTTTGAAGTAGATACCTGAATTCCAAGGATAGCTCGTAATAATCTATCTTCCGGGGCATACGATGATTCTTTCGCGATTTGAGGCGTTAATTTACCTACTAAAATATCACCTGTCTCGACCCAAGATCCCAACATAACAATTCCATTTTTGTCTAAATTTCGGAGTAAATGGGCTTCTAAATGTGGTATTTCATTAGTGATCCTTTCAGGTCCTTGGCTTGTTGCCTGAGTCTGAATTTCATATTTACGTATGTGAAAAGAAGTAAAAATATCTTCATATACCAGACGTTCGCTAATAAGAACCGCATCTTCAAAATTGTAACCTTCCCACGGCATATACGCTACGAATACGTTTTTGCCCAAGGCAAGTTCGCCGCCAACTGTAGCGGCACCATCCGCTAAAACTTGTCCCTTTTTAATGCAGTTACCCCGTCGAACCTGAGTTTTTTGATGCATACAAGTATTTTTGTTGGAACGCTGATACATAACTAATGGAATGCTTAGAGTATCTTCATTGCCCCATAAAAGGATCTTATCAATCTCGGTAGAAATTATCTTTCCCTCATGTTCGGCTATAGCGGTGGCCCCTGAATCGAGGGCCACTTGGCGTTCCAATCCAGTTCCAACAATGCACTTCTCGGACCGAGAAAGCGGAACTGCTTGACGTTGCATATTTGAACTCATCAAAGCTCGATTAGCATCATTATGCTCGATAAACGGAATGAGGGAAGCCCCAATGGAAAAATATTGGAAGGGAAAAATACTTCGAAAATGAACCTGTTCCCACGCAACAGTCAGGAATTCTTGACGGTATCGAGCCGGAACAACCTGCTCCTCTTGAACACTTCGATTGATCGCCAAAGAATTTCCTACCGCTACCATAGAGTATTCGTCTCTATTTGGTGATAAAAAAAGCATCCGTTTTTTTTTTGATCTGTCAGAGATTTTATAAAATGGGCTTTCTAAAGACCCCCAAGCATCAATCTTGGCATGAATTGATAAGGATCCAATAAGTCCAACATTGATTCCTTCAGATGTATCAATTGGGCAAATGCGTCCATAGTGACTAGGAGGGATATCTCGTATCCGAAAACTCGCAGTTCGCCCCGTCAATCCCCCCGGACCCAAATAACTCAATTTTCTCCCATGAACTATTTGGTTCAATGGATTAGTTCGATCCAAAACTTGAGATAATGGGTGCAATCTGAAAAAGGATTCAAAGGTGGTTGTTAATGAAGTTGAAGTTACCAAATTTTGAGGGGTCGGTATCAATTTTTGGCTAATTTCTCGACATATAGTTCCGCTAACCACATTTTCTAAACGAACCAGAGCCAATCCGAATTGATCTTGTAAGAGATCCGCTACAGAACGAATACGCTTATTTTTTAAATGATTCATATCGTCAACTGTACCCATTCCAAATCTCATTCCAATCAAATGATCCGCAGCTGACAATATATCTCGTGGTAACAAAAATGTATTGTTATGAGACATATCAAGATTCAATCTCCGGTTCAGATTTAGTCGACCAATCCTTCCTAATTCACATCTTTGTTGAAAGAATTTCTTTTGTAATTCTTTACATAAGGATTCTGAAAATATTTGATCGCCGCCTACACAAGTAAATTTTTTATAAAACTCCAAAATGGCTTGAACCAATTTTTTTTCTTCTCTTTATCGTTCAGGAAAGACAAGAAAATTTCGGGGTAGTACACATTCTCTAGAATTTCTCTTAGATTCAAACCCATAGCTGCTAATAGAACTAGAATAGATATTTTCTGTTTCCTACTCACACGAGCCCATATCCTTGGTTTTCTATCAATCTCTAATCCCCCCCCCCCCCCCACAATCTGATATTATCGTACCGGTATAGACCGAAATTCCGTTATGGTCCAATTCTGACTGATAATAGATGTCGGGGCTTTGCAATATTTGATTGATCACAATTCGGTATATTCCATTTACTATAGAAGTTCCCAGGGAATTCATTAGAGGAATGTTTCCAATAAAAATAGTTTGTTCTTGCATATCCCTGCCAGTTTTCCTAATTAATCCTGCGGATACATACAATTCCCAAGAATATGTGCGTGATTCATATATAGCATCTCGTTCTTTTATCAACGGTTCCACCAATTGATATGTTTCCACAAATAATTGAAATTCAATCTCTTGATCTGTATCTTCAACTTTTGGAAACTTAGAAAGCTCTTCCGTTAAACCCTTATCAATAAACCTACAAAATCCTTCAAATTGAATCTGATTAAATCCAGGTATTGTAAACAGTCCCCCATTTGCATCCCTAAGCATTTTTTATTTCCCAGTTATTGAAAAATCCCATAATTGGATCGTTTTTCATCCAATTCTATAGATTGAGCTAGCAATGATGGGATTTCTATTCTGTTTACAAAATAACATAAACTTTTATCGAACTCCATATATGGATATGGAATGTATGAGCAGAGGAATAAAGAGAATTTTCTACTCAAATTGGAATTTGCAACCGATACAACTTAACTTAGACTTATGGGGTTTTGGGTAGAATCGCAAAACAAACAAAAAGTGATTCTATTTCTATTAGTCTTTAGTCTTCTGATATTACTATTATGATATTCTATATTCGAATAGTATTACATACTAATCAAATAAATGGATTCGGAATTGGATCTGTTCGATGAGATAAAGACCCGATAATCAGAAACAATAAATAGAAATTGGATTCTTATTTTTTTAGGAATGAGCTTTTTTGTGGATTTCATTGTTATTCTTCAGTGCAAAAAAAAGATTCGCATAAAAGAGATAGTTTTTTTAATAGAGTTCGGATAATACGATTAAAGCGCATAATAGAAGGCTTATTAAACATGGGCATATATAACTCAACTCTATCTATATGTCTCTCTTTTTATTGCTATTGCAGCTCTATTCTCGTTAAGATATCCGATTCGATATCTATGTAAGAATTTTTTGTTCTGGGGTTTAGTTTACATATACTCATAATTGTTGTTATAATTAAAATTGAGAAAGATTTTTTTATTGAAACGAATCAATACTGATTAGTTATGTATCAATTTTTATTTTCTTATATCATATATCATAAGAAAATCCAATTTTGGATTCAAATCCAAGAATTGTTCGTGAATTCTTGGCCACTAGTTAATGGTTCGAATTTGTTTATTTTTTGGAACTGAAAATCCACATTTGGTTTTCTTCAATATCACTAGTCAATAGTCAATAAAAAGAGAACAGAATTTACATTTGGCTAATGTATGTTTTGAGATACTAGACAAAAGTAATTGAAGAGATGGATTCAAAGCCTTTTTTTAGGAGGGGGCTTAAGGTTAAGAAAATGAAAATGGGGGTTAAGATGCAAATTTGAGTACCACCCCAAATGGTATACTTTCCTTTCTTTTGTATTAATTTGGCGACATGGCCGAGCGGTAAGGCGGTGGACTGCAAATCCTTTTTCCCCCGGTTCAAATCCGGGTGTCGCCTGATCAACAAAAGACGCAAAATACCTTATTCCCTTTGCCCATATAACTTATTGAATTTGTGCACAACGGAGAAATGCGACGGGAAAGGCTCTTAATACTTCTAATTAAACGGGTCGCTGCGTATTTTTTTTGCTTGTGCTTAATGTTTCCCGATTCTACGAAGAATTCTAGAAGAAATTCTTCGAATTAATTGAAATTTTTGATTGTTTTTAATCAGTGGTATTGGACAGAATCCTTTTTTTTGACTCTGCAATAAAGATTCTACTATTATTTATATTATATTTAGTGAACAATAATGGAAAAATTCTTTCAAATTCATAGAGATAGGGGACATAATTCACATGGATATAGTAAGTCTCGCTTGGGCTGCTTTAATGGTAATCTTTACATTTTCGCTTTCACTCGTAGTGTGGGGAAGAAGTGGACTTTAGGAGTACAAGTTAAGTTGAGAAGTGAAATTGTATCAATTTTTTTCCGGATCTTCTTGCAAAAACTTTTCAATTGAACGATTTAAATTCAATTGAAAATATCTTTATTTACAAAATTTACAAATTATTCTATTGGATTCAAGTGGAATAATGAATTCTATAAATAATATATGAATAAGACTTTTTCAAAATGGAATCATAATAGATAATAAAAAAAAATTCTTTCCATGATTCTCGTGTTCCTTTTTCGAAAGACCAAGAAATCAAAAATGGATTCAAACCGAATTCTTTATTCTTTAGAAATTCGAAAAAACAAATGGATAGTATGGTAAAAAGAACTCTATAGTTCTTTCTACCGTACTGTCAGATCCTATTGAATAGATACTACTTATTCTAGTTTGTTCATTTGATCTAAGACACGCAATTGGAATTTTTTTTTTTCAGTTTTTCTTTAATCGTTCATATTGATGAGAACTAAGAAGTCAAGTTTCATTCAAATTAATCACTTTGACTAACAGTTTTTACATAAATTATAAGTAAAAAAGCAGTAGGAACTAGAATGAAGAGTGCAGTAGCAATAAATGCGAGAATATTTACTTCCATAATCTCATCGTTTTGTTTTTCTTTACTTCGCAATAACTCGGGATTTAATCCCATAGAGATGCTAAACCCTTTGCCTCGAAATTCATGGGATGAATTCCATCTCGATGATATCGAATCAGATCAATATCATGAATAACAATATCTGACCTATGAAATCGATTCATCGTCGAGAATTGAATAGTATAACATAGAAAGCTCGTTTATACATAACGAATCAAAAAACGGACTATTGATCCAATCTACAAGTTCTTTACTTGAATTTCATTATTCACATTATTTTTTTTCTTTTCCATTCGTTGGTTTTTATATTTTAGAAAGACAACGCCCTTCTTTTGGACAATTATCTGAACAGTATCGTCTAACCGACGTTAGATCTACATTCGATAGGTATATTTCAAATGTATATAAATTTTTAAAATGAATGCATTTGAAATTCTAGTATTTGAAAAATGCATTGTTTGTATGCTTATTTGTAATTTGTTTTGAATTTCAGCTTTTTTTTCTGGTCACTTATTATAAATTTTGGTGCCCAAAATTATTTTTTCTTATAATTTAGTACCTAAACTTTTAAAATTTTACAAAAGGTCTAGAAATTTTGGTGGTAACTTTACATTTCGGTACCTTTATATGTTTAGCCTCACACTATAGTACCTAAATTTTTAAAATTTTACAAATGGGTTCACTCTTTTGTTAGGAGGAATTTCAAATCATTAGTTGTTGAAGTTGACAAGTAATATACTAGAGAAGTATTTGGAAATCACCATATGAATTTGACACAAATTGAAAAGCTCATACCCATTTTATTCATTTCTCAACAAAAACAAAAAAAAGTCGGCAATGGCCGCTAAAGGGGGGTCGAATGACTGGGCTCAGTTATTCGGTGTAGAGGAGGGCAGTCGGCTTCGTTTTGTTCAACCGGAAGTGGCTGGGGGTGCTCTTCTCCTTCCTCGAGTGATTGGAGAAGTTGGAGCGATGCGGTGGAGGGAATCCCTAGTTGGCCAGTTTCTCTCTGATCCTCCATCGCTTCAGACTATTCAAACCTGGGCGAAGCGTCTATGGGGGCGAGAGGGGCCGATCCATGTCTCGGAGTTTGGTGATTCTATGTTTCGGTTCCAGTTTCCGGATCTGGAAACCAGTACCTGGGTCTTCGAACGAGGGCCTTGGCACTGCCAAAATATTCCACTATTTCTTCGTCGCTGGACGTCGGGGATTCAACCTATGGATTTTCACCTCTCATTACCTATCTGGGTGAGGATTAAGGGGGTACCGCTGGAGTACCATTCTGTAGATGGGCTGAGTCGGATTGCTAGTGTGTTGGGGGTTCCACTCTGGATGGATCAGAAAACTAAATTGGGTACTCACATTGGGTCTGCGAAGCTTTGTGTTGACCTGAGGGTGGATTGTGGTTTTCAGGAGGAGATCAGAGTTCAGCCGGAGGGGGAGCAAGCATTTTCTCTGGAAGTTGAGTACCTTCGCCTCCCGCCACGATGCCTCCAATGTTAGGTTTATGGGCATGAGGCAGGTAAGGGAGCTGATTGTAGGGTGGCGGAGGAAGCTGCTTGGGTCCAGAAGGGGAAGACAGTTGTTACTGATGGTCCAGTGCCGCAAGTGGTCACACCGGTTTCACCTCTCACTACTGTCATTGCTGATGGTATATCTTCTCCGGGGGGTTCCATCTTGTTCCCAAAGCACTCCAATTGGGGGCCAGTGAGGCTTCCTCCAGTGGTACTAAAGAGGTTGGTCAAAAGGTTTGGAAGGCAGCAGAAGAAATGGAGATAGATGCGTTGGTTGCGAGTATTGAGCAGTCTGGTACTAAGGTGGCTTGTAGTAATGGTATGAAGTCTGGTCTGAATGGTGGTAAAGTGTCTAGTGCTGCTAAAGTCCCTGCACCTTCTAAGAAGGGGAGGGGACGAGGTAAGCGCCGATGATTATCCTGTCTTGGAATATCAGGGGGTTTAACACTCCTGATAAGCATAGGTATGTATATAGTCAACTAAATAAGTATAAAGTAGATTTAGTAGCAATTTTAGAAACCAGGGTCGCCTTTAAAAACTCTGGTCCTATAATCGATGGTGTGTTTGGTGATTGACAATATATAGATAATTACAGTAAATCCAAATCTGGGAGAGTATGGTTGTTATGGAGGAATGGTCTGAAGGTCACTCAACTGGAGTCTGGAGAGCATTTTCTCCATGTGAGAGTGTTATCTGGGTTGGAAGAAGTTGTGGTAACTGCAGTTTATAGCCCTAATAAGCCAGGGCAGCGTCAGCAACTATACAAGGAGCTGGCTAAATGTCAGACTACTACTAGTTCTTGGATTGTTTTGGGGGACTTCAACGTAGTTGCAGAAGTTAATGAGGCGTCTAATTCAATGGTGGTGACTCAGAGCATGTTAGACTTCAGGGAATGGATTGATGATATGTAACTGGTTGACCACAAAGTTTCAGGATCATGATACACTTGGTGGAATAAAAAAGAGAATAATCCTATTGCTAAGTGTATCGACAGAGTACTAGTTAATGATCCTTGGTTTGATATCCTTAAATTCAGTTCTGCCTGTACTATCAGCCCTGGAGTTTCAGATCATTGTGGATTACTTGTTAACACAACAAAGGAGTTGAAGAGTCTACCGAAGCCTTTCAAGTATTATAAGTTTTGGAGGAGCCATCCACAGTATCAAGAAATAATTAGAGAGTCCTGGGATAGTGTCACAAGGGCTGATCCTTTCAAACAGTCTTAAGGAAGCTTAAGAGGGTAAAGATGGGGCTTAAAGTTCTTAATAGAACTCATTACTCTGATATCTCAGGGCGTACTTGTGAGGCAGAGAGGCTGCTAGTGGAGGCTCAGGGGCAGGTCTTGGATGATCCTAGTACTGTCAATGTAGCTCTTGAAAGGGAGTTGGCGATCAAATGTGCAGAGTTGCAAGCTGATGAAGAATCCTTCCATAGACAGAAGTCGAGGGCGTCCAGGATAAATGAAGGAGATGGCAACTCAGGTTTTTTCCATAAGTATGTTAAAGCTCGCAACAAGAGGCTTACTATTGATCATCTTATTGATGACACGGGGCAGGTGATCTTAGATGTAAGCCAGATGGGACAGATGTCTGTTGATTTCTATAGGAAGCTGCTTGGGGTGCCTAATCCTGAGGTGGCTGATTTACCAGTCAGTTATTTTGAGAGTCTGCTTAGGACTAAGCTTTCACAGGAAGATGTGGTGCATCTGTCTAAGCCGGTATCAAGGGAGGAGGTACGTGCTGTTTTCTTCTCTATGGCAGCAAACCTCCTGGGCCTGACGGTTACCCTGATGACTTTTATAAAGCTGACTGGGAGATAATTGGCTCGGATGTGACTGATGCTATGTTGTATTTCTTTCAAACTGGAATGCTGCCTTTAGAGGTAAACTCTACCATTCTAACCTTGATCCCCAAGCTTCAAAACGTAGAACGTATGAAGGACTTGCGAACATCAACATTGTCGACCGGTTAGCTATTGACACCTAAAATTATTTTGGCCTAAATTGAATGTCACATTACTGAGTCTCGAGATTTAATCAATTTCAAAGGGGCAACTGAATTAATTACAATTGTGTCGCATGAGAAAAAACGACAGTATTTTAGTGGAAAACAATGACGCATGAGATTGTATGTCCAGTATCACAGGAACACTAGGAAACGATGTTGCTTAGTGGAGAGCAAGGCGGAAAAATGCATTGGCCACATCTAGCAGCCAATGCATGTTTATTTTCCACGAGCAATGTTGCTTTAGTCCTTATCCTTTTGTCAATTTTGAAGTCGAAATAGCCAACACGACACAACCATGTTTCTCTAAACGGTTGTGTTTCGGTTCTAAGACCATTGGAAGCAACACTGTATTTCATTTCTCCTATGCATACAAAAGTGAAAACTTTGATGATGCGGAATTGAAACAATACACAAGACAACGATTTTACGTGGTATCCTCGATCGATTGATTGATCGAGAATAATCCACGGTGAGCTCATAAGAGCTCACGACTGATCTCTTATTAGGATTACATCTTGACGGCTTGCTATCACACAAGTTGATAGCTAAGCTTATATAGATAAACTTAGGGTTAAAACCCTAATCCAACGAATCAGACGAGGCCCAACAAGGCCCAATACTAACACGGTTTAAGTAACCGCAACACTCCCCCTCAAGCGAAGACATGAATGACAAGAATGTCGAGCTTGAAGAAGTAAATGTGAAGAACAAACATGATGACTTGAACCACAAAACTCGAGATGAATAACATCTCAGACGAGATTGATTGGAGACTACTGACTCTCTCTGAACAACCTGATGATGGAGACGATTGGCTACGTCTCTTGAACTTGAACACACCTGGTACATCGCAGTCGACCTGATGACTGAGGTAGTCGACCGACGTATGTTGACCTCCTATTCTCCCCCTCAAGTTGGAGCATGAACAACGTGAATGCCCGGCTTGAAAAGTGATGAATGGTTGATATGTGCCCAATAATGAACCGGAAGAGGGGACGACCATTTCTTGGATCGTGAATGCCAGCTGGATGATGAAGGGACGATTACTCTTTGATCCTATTACCTTTTTAAATGCCAGGGGACGACCATTTTATGGATCGTGAATGCCTCGACCGAAACTTGACTATCTTTGCTTGCGGAAGTTCTCTATCACTCAAACAACGACAAGTGAAGGGTCAATACAACTTTGAATTGAGAATGCTTCACTGCTTCTATGCTTGAGGATTTGCTTTCCTGCAAACAGTAAAAAAATAACTGGCCAACCCGGCCACTGATTTTGCAAAAACTACTGAAGCCCAAAAAATTGATTTGGTAGCTTAAAGCTTCCCACGTAAAACTTGTTGAGCCCATAAGGACCACTTCGGAAACACTTGAAGTGTGAATGGATGCAGACCCAATTTTGGAATTTGGACGGCCCATTCGTAGGTGAGGACGGCCCAAAAGGGGATACTCTTCTGCCTCTTTGGTGATGACGACTCATTTGGGGAAAACCTTCTCCTTAATGCGCTCACCTGAACATCCGCAACTTCTCTTCTCTGGCGAAGAAATCAAAGCGAAGATAGAAGAACGGCGGGATCTCCGAGATAGAACGATGGCGGTCGTGTTTGATGCTGACGAAGGCGGTGATGCTGGACTGGCGGGGAAGAGAAGATCGAGTTGGACAAACCTGGATTCGACTGAAATCAGAGACTTTTCCCGGATGCGACGAGGACCCGGAGAGAGATTGACTTGGGCACAAAGAGCAGCGAGCAGGTGGAAGACCAGCAGCTTGAAGAGGACTGGAATCGACCCTGAACACCAATGGGCAATTCTGGGAAGATTGGACTCCATGAGAATCAGGCACATGGCGACTTTGTGACGTCAGGACAGCCGATCTCAGAAGTAACACAATGAATCAAGCACATGGCGGCTTTGTGACTGGATGTGGACCTCGAAGTAACACAATGAAAGCCTCCATGACTCAACGGGTGAAAGTCGTGAGGTGAAGTCGCCAAACTTGTGGAGTTCTGTGACCTTGATTGTGAACGATGGCGCCGTCAATGATGATGGCTACGCAGGGATGGTTGCGACCCACGACGGAATGGACTTTGCCTAGGTCAACTGGAGGTACGGAGAGCTGGACTGCTCATCCAAATCGAGAAACCACAAAAGCGGAAGGATGGAAGCTCAAACCCTAATCAAGGATCGAGATTCGCTCTGATACCATGAAAACTTTGATGATGATGAATTGAAACAATACACGAGACAACGATTTTACGTGGTATCCTCGATCGATTGATTGATCGAGACTAATCCACGGTGAGCTCATAAGAGCTCACGACTGATCTCTTATTAGGATTACATCTTGATGGCTTGCTATCACACAAGTCGATAGCTAAGCTTATATAGATAAACTTAGGGTTAAAACCCTAATCCAACGAATTAGACGAGGCCCAACAAGGCCCAATACTAACACAAGTAACCGCAACAAAAAGTCTGCAATCCTACAAAGTAGAAACACCGCCGTAGTCACATTTGTTTTGTAGGAACTGTGACACCGGTGTTATGAGATCGATATTGCGGGATTGTGAGCTCAATGATGCGGAAGCCAACAAGGTGTGGATTTTGTCAGCACTGCAATACCAAAAACCGAGTTGTTTAATTAAAAATGACGTCAAGGTGGTGAGGGTTCAGTTCAGTGGGAGTGACATCTTGTATTTAGCCACGCCACGAAGTCCCAACAGCATGTGGCAAAGATGCCACCTCAATAAAATTTCTTGCGAGGAAGGGATTTCCAATACCTTTACACTATGTTTCCGAAAGAAGGGAGGTGAAGGAAAATTAGAGGAAAATGTTGTTTTATGGAGGAAAGTGGGAAGAAAAAAGTGTATTGTGAATTGTGATGGATATGTTATTTTATTAGGTATATAATAGTGAAATAATTTGAAAATATGTTGATATTATTTTTATTGCTTATGAATTGTGAATTAAATTTGTAATTTTTTGTTTATGAATGTGTGATGTAAAATAACGTTATGTGTGATGTAAAACAATTTTGTGTTACGTTATTGATTAAACAATATTGTATTTAGTCTCCTCTTTTTTATTTAATTATTACTATGAGACTTTAATTAACTTATAAATTGCTGGCAGAATTTAAATTTGATTTTCATTATCATGTTAATTACTTTGGATTAAATCAGTTTAACGTGAAACAGAGAGAGAAAGAAAGTGGGAGAGAGAAAGAAAGAACAAAAGTGAGAAAGTTGTAGAAATAGATAAAGCAAAAGAATAAAAAAATGAAAAAATGGACAGCGCTTCTTTCTCTCCGATTTGGAGAGTTGCCTTCCATAGTATATTTTCTGTCTGCTTTCTTCCCTTCCGTACTGTTTCAGTTCTTAAAAAGCGGAGGAAAGCTCCTAGGGAGCTGTGCTTTCCTCCATTCTTTTTCCCTCCCTCCCATTTCCTTCCTTCCCGAACACAGTGTGTTGGAAATTTGATTGGTTAAATTATTGGACTGATTAGGTTAATCATAAATTAACCATCAATTAATTTTGAATTAGCCAACTTTCATTTTTTTCCTCACGTGGTGCATTGGCAAAGTTTGGATGGCAGTTGAACATCCACTTTTGTTGTAAAGACACATCTCTTCACCTTTGCCATGCATTTGAATTAGGCAAATGCACCATGTGTTTAAAATGGACATATACGTGTCCATTGCATGGGGACAGTTTTGCCTTGGCTTTGAATTGGACAAAGCAACACATCCCTCCACAAGGAACAGTTGCCATGGATCGATGCATAAGTTGGCAAGGAAGCAATACAATGCTTCGTGTTCTATAAATAGAGGGACTTGGCGGTGAAAGACACACACACCAAAAATTCATTCTTCTTCCTACTAAAAGTTCTAAGTATGCTTTAGGTACTTAAGCCTGGAACCTAAAGTGGTGATAGTTTTATCCTCGGGAGAAATTTCCTGTAACCCTAGGCTTGTTGAGGGTGGAAATATTCTTTTTCGGAAAGTGAACGTAGTTCACGACTCTATCATAATCCTAGTCACCCGGTCTCGGGCTATCGTACGTATACCCTCGTCCCTAAAAGTCCCAACAATCGAAAAGAATATTTTTCCGGTACGATGGCTTGAACCGCTTTTTACAAGAAACCGGTTCCGGTCTATGGAATTATGAGAATGTTCGATGATAGGGTTTTCATCGATGGCAGTAGAAGATGGGTTTTTCTTTGTACTTGTCTCATGGTGTATTCCATATCCGGAATGTAACTTGGAAGAGGGATGATTCGAAGATGAGGAAGAAGGAGAATGATTCGTAAAATGGAGAAATAGAAGAATGAAAATTGTCTTTGGGTAGGTCACATACTCAATGGTTAATTAGTCTAATTCTCTATTCGACATTTACGAAGTTCTAGATAAACTTGGATTTGTCTAGTGGTTTGGTGGTGTGATTTTGTCTAGTGGTTTATGTTATTTTAAACCAAGGAGACAAAATTGTATATACAATGTTTGATGATTCTGGTAATAGAGTCGTTGTGTTTGTATGTAGATGACATATTTATCTTTGGGGCCAATCAAAGATAATTGATCTTGTCAAGGGGTTTATGTTATTTTAAACCAAAGAGACAAAATGTGTACACAATTTATGATGATTCTGGTAATGAAGTCATCGTACATTTGTATGTATAAGATATGCTTATCTTTGGAACCAATAAAAGATAAGTGAACTTTGATAAAAAGTTGTTATTTCAATTCTCCATGTAGGACATGGGGTAGGCAAATGTGATTCTGTGTATTGAATCAAGCAGAACGACAAAGAGAGTCCTTCTCTCAATTTTTCTGCATGAGAAGGTACTTGCATAAATTCCGTAATAGGAATTGTAGTGAGTTAAAGACCCCAATGGATCCAAGTATGGAACTTATGGTTAATACTGGAAATCAATTTACAACTGGAGATGTATGCATGACTTACATGATAATAGATATCGCATATGCGATAGAACAATTAAGTTGGTACGTGATGAATCCTAGTTCTCATCATTTGAAATGAAATGAGGCGTGTACTAGGATATGTCAAAGGCACACTGTACTGACTTATAGTGGCTTTCCATTAATTTTGGAAAGGATTTGTTGATGTTAGTTGGATTTCTCATGTTAAAGGTGATACTTCAACATTGAGATGAGTCCTCTTGCTTGGGAGGGGTGCCATAATTTTGGCCTCTAGAAAGCAAACTTGCATCACTAAGTTTCACTATGGAATCAAAGTTTGTGTGGCCTTGATTTCTCTTAGAGAAGAGACATAATTGTTGAGAGGTTTGGTTTATGACATATATTTATGGCCTAAACCAATCTCACCTATTACTATCTTTTGTGATAGTAATGCTAATTTGGCTAAGGCATATATTCAAGTGAAAATGATAAGTACGGTCATGTGGGAGTATGGCACGATAAAAGCTGTGAACTGATCATTCATAGTGTTGTGTCTAGACAGTATGACCAAACTCGAATTAATTTGGTTGATCATTTAACGAAGTGGTTAACTAGTGACTTGGTGATTAAGTCTGTGAAAGGGATGGATTAAAGTCCATATAATTTCTGGTAATGGGACACCCAATTCCCCTCTAATACAACGTTAGAGGCTGAATTCAATGTGGAAAGCTTATTATCAGAAATTGAAGCACAAAATTTGTCATCCCGAGGTATGTGCTTGTTATCTGCATGAGAGAAGAGGATGAAGTTCAAAACTTCTTAATTGAATCTTTGACAAAGTGTATTATGCGGGTACACGAATAAAATATTTGACCTACGTAAGCGTGAAGTGTAGCCGCTTCAAGAAACCCGGACTTTGGTTTCGTGTGCGCTTATGAGAAGGATTGGACACATGGCGGATAATAGTGTCAAGGCACTTAGAAGTTTTGAAAACTTAAGTGTATATTATCTTCGAATATTCATATGAGTCAATGGGTTCAATCGTTACCGACACCCTTTGTATTCGAATATTTTTCAAGTGTAATATACTAAGGTGAAAATTCAATTGTCACGATATTTTCATTTATGCTTAAGTTTTGTTGGAAGAAGGTTGAATGTTGTGATTTTAGTGAATTCTTTTAAATACACTAAAATGGGGGAGGAATGTTGGAAATTTGATTGGTTAAATTATTGGACTGATTAGGTTAATCATAAATTAACCATCAATTAAATTTTGAATTAGCCAACTTTCATTTTTTTCCTCACGTGGTGCATTGGCAAAGTTTGGATGGCAGTTGAACATCCACTTTTGTTGTAAAGACACATCTCTTCACCTTTGCCATGCATTTGAATTAGGCAAATGTACCATGTGTTTAAAATGGACATATACGTGTCCATTGCATGGGGACAGTTTTGCCTTGGCTTTGAATTGGACAAAGCAACACATCCCTCCACAAGGAACAGTTGCCATGGATCGATGCATAAGTTGGCAAGGAAGCAATACAATGCTTCGTGTTCTATAAATAGAGGGACTTGGAGGTGAAAAACACACACCAAAAATTCATTCTTCTTCCTACTAAAAGTTCTAAGTATGCTTTAGGTACTTAAGCCTGGAACCTAAAGTGGTGATAGTTTTATCCTCGGGAGAAATTTCCTGTAACCCTAGGCTTGTTGAGGGTGGAAATATTCTTTTTCGGAAAGTGAACGTAGTTCACGACTCTATCATAATCCTAGTCACCCGGTCTCGGGCTATCGTACGTATACCCTCGTCCCTAAAAGTCCCAACACAGTGTTAGGTAAATTTTATATGGTATTTTCCAACACCTTTTGCAGAACAAATCGATCCAGAAGATGCTACGATGGTGTCCAATACATGGTTGTTGCATTTTGTTGGTGCCTCGCATTTGGTCGTCCAACATATTCAATATAAGAAAGCATTCCACTCAATAAGCGGGGCTATTTTGGAGAAAATCAGTCTCATTTTTTCTTTCTTTTAAGTTTGTATCGTGTCATTTGGCTCCTCTACATTTTAAGTTGTCCGTATAGTAACAAAAGAAATTCTTTCATCATCGATAATTTAATTGCAAACAAACTATCGCATGAAGGTTCAAGTTTGTTATAATTTTTCGGTCGTCATAGTCCCAACTCCCAAGCACAGCTTCGTTGGAATGCAACAATGACGGTGGTAGAGGACTCTGTTTCTTGAGGAAGACAAGATACCGGCAGTTCCCTGGCCTACTCCTCTCGTCCTCATTCCGAAGGCTACGCCTGCTACCGTTGGCGCATCATGCGAAGGCTACCTCATTTCATTTGGGAAGGTCCGACCAACGGATACAGTAATGGATCCAAGACCAAGAGAATGAGGAGTCCTTCTTCAGGTACCCAGCAGATAGAAGGGATCTCGTTGTTGTCATTGCAGTCAACTGTCGTGGGAGAGAGTAGCGGCAGTATTGTTACTGTTAGAAACCATTTTAATTTGAATAAATGCAGTTAGCCTCAGTAGGGTGGGGAAGGGGATACAGCAGCAAATTGTGAGTAGAAGCTATCTTATGCTCAAATGTACTTAAGGAAAAGATCATCCTCAAGAAGTGGCTATCAAGGCTTTATCTTCTCCAGCAATCTTTCAGCTTCGATGAATCCAAGCGGTCCAAGAGATACATATTTCATGTGTTTCCATCTGTTCCAAATCATTTCAGGATTAAAACCCTCTACAGGGTTCATGAAAAAGATCACAACTTGAAAAGATTGGGTTGTTTATATATAGTAGTAAGTTTGCAGGAAGGGATAGGAATGCTCACTTCGGTATGAATGGCAATGCTAAACAATGGAGGTGTAGATGATTTACACTGTTAAATGGTGGTCGATGAAAGCCAAATCTGCAGTAAAAAACCAGACTTCCCAAGTTAAGTCTTATACTCCGTCTATTAGACAGAAGTACTCGGAAGAAAGAACCAAATCAAAGCATGCAAATTCATGTACTAATACGGAAGTTAAAGCCTGAACTTAATGGCTTGCAATGCCATCTTGCAACAGTCTTCATACCTGTATTTCGCATCAGGAGCATCCCGCTGTAAAAGAGTTCGCCCCACCTGCAACATGTGATTCACTGTATAAAGTAGCAAGGATAGAAGAACATTAGTCGATGGATTAGGATCTATTGAGCAATTTCTCAAAGAAAAGATCAGATTGCTAATTGCTAGTATTGTAGATTTCCAATTTCTTTACCTAGAGAATGGTCCTCCTCGCTTCTTCTCAGATCATTGACCGTAGCAATGTGCTTCACAGGGATCACTAAGTAATGCCTAACCAAATCGTTGGACAGCCGTCAAATTAATTCAAGCAAAAAGAGAGATCAAAGCTGCCTCCATAAGCAGCAGCAACAGCAGATGATATCACAAACCAGTAAGCACAAATTGGCATCTCAAACGTTCTGAAACTCGGAATCAAAAAGGTCCATTGGAGGACTGAACTTGAACCTAGACTAATCAAAAGGTAGGATCATATACTCGCAAGATTGTTAAAGTACAGTATCGAAACCGGAATTTGACACTAAATGAGAACAAATTGCCATGGAAGCAATGCTTAATCTGGTTCAGAAACAAAAAGAGAAGAACTTTGACAGCTCCGACTGAATCAGAAAGGCGACTCCAATCCGAATTCAATTAGGCGTGAAAATGAAGCTGAAACTCCGAGTGAAGATAATACCGAAAGGGGGATGGCGGCAGGAGCAAGATTTACCTGAAAGCAGCAGGCCTTATGTCCTGGAAAGCCACAACTCTGTCATCCTACAGCAAGTGTGAATTCGCTTTCAGCTCAGATTTTCTGATGCAACCAAAAGGAAATTACAGTGACGAGATAGGAGAAAGGAACTGACAGTGTGTAGAAGCTTGGTCGAACTTGAATCGCCGGCGATTGCGCAGAAGATGCATGGCGACGGCGAGGAAGCGCCGGCCATTTTCTCAGAACTTTTCACAGTTCCGATCTCCCTAGCTATTTTGTTTTTTTGTCTGGCAATGGCATCTCTCTTTCTTCTATTTCCCCTTTTTGCGGTTTATTAATGAAATATTTATTACTCCGTAAATGAAGCCATAATCTGATAGGCTGCTGCTCACCGTTCGGACTATGCACCTTTCCGCGGCTTCTTCCTCTCACCCGCATGAATTTCCTCCGCCGTTTCAAAACCCTACTTCTCCCCTTTCCCGCCCAAGTTAGCCCTACTCGCCGTCCGACGCCGTTCCTCACTCGCATCGACTCGTCGCTTGGCCGAGCCATGAGTTCCGAGTCCACTCAGCGCATCTTCCAGCTCAAGTTCGACCCCCTCACCGGCGAATCCCAATGGGTGGTCATCGAAGAGACGGACGATGCCGGCGGCGAGGAATCGTTCGGGGGCTCAAGCGCTTCCTTCCTCGCCACGACGTCGTATCTCGACATGCTCAACGACTCCGCCAGGAACCGCGCCTTCCGAGAAGCCATTGATAAGACCGTCACAAAACCTTGCCATGTTCTCGACATTGGGTATTTTACGGGAAAATTAACATTCCCAGAGCTATATTCCACAGTAGGTCAATTTCTCTTTTCGTTTTCCGAAAATGATGAAGGGAAAATTTTCAATCTTTGCCAGTTCTGGGACCGGATTGCTGTCGATGATGGCGGCGCGAGCTATGAGCTCCGATGGCGGTGGTGGGACGGTGACGGCCTGTGAGTCCTATCTTCCGATGGCGAAGCTGATGCGGAAAGTTCTGCACGTTAATGGCATGGGGAGGAATGTTAATTTGATCAACAAGCGCTCCGATGAGCTTCAAATGGGCGTGGATATTCCTTCAAGAGCAGATGTTCTCGTGAGTTTTCCATTAGCCATAAGCTCTATCTTTGTTTCTAGTTTTTGTAATTTAGGACTTGAGATGATTCAATTGCATTGCAGGTGAGTGAGATTCTGGATTCAGAATTACTGGGAGAAGGGTTGATTCCATCTCTGCAACATGCTCACGACAATCTGCTGGTGGAAAATCCACTGACAGTTCCATATCGAGCCACGACTTACGGTCAGGTACTTGAAGTTCTTCCCTATGTTGACCTCGGGCAATTTGTAAATTTCCCTTGTTAGAAGTCTGAGATGTTTGCCTTACTAATGAAATGTCTGCCTTCTTTGTGGTTTGTATAAGCTGGTCGAGAGTTCATTTATACAAGAGCTACATGATCTGGGGAACAAGGAAGGGCAAGTTTTGGATGGGATTCATCTCGTTCCGAACGGATTGAGCACAATTATACGTCCCAAATCGCAGCAGTACCCACTGCATTGTGATTCTTTATCTGAGGAAATAAGATTGGTATGCAACTTGATCACAGTTTAGTGGATGTTCTCTTGATAGGCACGAATGATTTCATTTAATACATACTGAATTCAGGACTCACCAGCTGTCAGAACCCTTCAAAATCTTTGAATTCGACTTCTGGAGGAGGCCTGAGAGCCATGGAGAGGCTAAAGTGGTGGTGGAGGCAATTGATGATGGTAGAGCTAATGGCTTAGTCTCATGGTTAGTGAAAGTACTTGATTTTCCCCCCATAGAAGTACTTGGTTGATTAGCTAACGATTGATACTTATACTTGACCACACTTGGGCTTGTTGTATCTGTTTTAGGTGGGTACTTCAGCTTGATCGCGAAGGCACAATCTTTTACTCCACTGCACCTAAATGGATTGATCTGCAACTTAACGCAAGTTAGTCAAGAATGTTTAACAGATAAAATTGCAGCTGTTTATTTATCACGATGACTCCTTTTACAATGTTTTTCGAGCTTATTTATGGGACCAAAGATGATTTGCGTGCTTTACTAGGAGCTAGCAACTGGTGTGACCACTGGAAGCAGTGCGTGTGGTTCATTCCAGGTGAAGGGATACTGGTGTCCAAGGGTGACGAGGTCACTCTGAATGCCGTCCATTCTGAGACTAGTGTTTCATATCATTTTGCTTCTACAGAAACTAATGAGATCAGACAATGTGATTCTTCTGTCACTGGTGATTTTCACCTCTTGCTGCCCCCGGAAAGAGTCGCTATTTATGGTGACAGCAAATGGAGGTCAGCCATGTTACGTGCTGTACAGAATGCTGTAAGCTCTCTCACTCACTCTCTCATATGAAGTCATGTACGTTTTGTTTTCTTTCTCCACCTAAAATCTGGGTTGAACTCTTTTGCAGTTGAAAGGAAGAGTTCAACCACTATGTTTGGTTGCAGATGATAGTTTATTCTTGACACTAGTTGCCACTTGTCTTTCTGAAACATCTCGAGTGATGTCATTGTTTCCTGGGTTGCGAGATATGGGTTCCCAATATGTCCAAGCCATTGCCAAGGCAAACGGCATTACTGCTGGTCGTATTGAAGTAGTTAAAGATAAGAGAAACATTGATAGGCATGTTTCTGATCAGAAAAAGGTGACTAAGATTTTATTGCAGTAGTTAATGTCAGCGTAAAGCAGATTGATCACTTTTTATCTGGAACCTAAACAGCTCAGCAAATGTTTGCAGGTTGACCTGTTAATTGGAGAACCATACTTTCATGGTAACGAGGGGATGCTTCCTTGGCAAAACTTGCGGTTTTGGTATGTATGCAAATATTCAATGTCTTAATAACAATCTGAAACACCAAATGCATAAGCTGGCGGGGGATTTGGCGTCGCTTGGCTTAAGAAGCTACGACTCATTTTGTTTGCAGGAATGATAGAACCATGCTAGACTCTGTTCTCTCTAAAGATGCAGACATTTTACCTTGTAAAGCATTACTAAAAGCATGTGCCATGTCTCTCCCGGTAAGACGAGACAATAACCATTCTACTGTTTTCCTTTCCCAGAGAAAGCTGAAATTCATATCACAAGTGTCTCTTAACAGGACCTCTGGAATAGCCGTCGCTCTCTAACCACGATTGAAGGTTTCGAGCACTCGATTGCTAATTCTACTTTAGGGGCATGTGGCGAACTACCAGCGGCACACGAGGGTCCGCTTCTGCCCTTCTTCATCTGGCAATGTGGAGAAATCAAGGTGATTCCTTTACCTCTTTCATTTCGTCATTGAGCACATCTATATGCTCATGGTTGTGACATTGACGATAGTAATCATCTTATTCAGAAACTCAGCGAAGCATTCACCATAATGGAGTTCGACTTCACGAAACCGATAACTTCTTGCAACGGAAAGGCAGAGGTAAGGAAGAAAAAGGACCTACCTTGATCTACAATAAATGACTGTGTAATACTTCTATCAGCTTATCAACCAAACACCCATCCAATTTTTTCGAACTGGACCTTTCTATATGCTCCAGTCAGAAACGCTCCATTTGGAAAAAGCTATACCATGACCAAATAGGCTCCACATATTCACATAAACGCGCGACTGGGTTGTAGATTTATAGTTGTGGTTTCTCTTTGACTGCAGGTCAGGTTTGTGGAACCCGGAATATGCCATGGATACGTGCTGTGGATAGATTGGGTTATGGATGCAAGCAATTCAGTGGTGATCTCCACTGGACCTGGTAACTGCTATGAATTATCTCTTCCACGCGCCACTTTTCATCCAGATTCCATTATTGTGCAAAATCTGCTCACTGTGAGCTCAATGCTTGTTTTCGTCGATGTTGTTTAGATGAGAGGTGGTGGAAGCAAGGCGTGAAACTGCTGGCGAAGCCGGCGATGGTGGGAATCGATGGAGGGAACCCAGGTGGGTTCTGCTCTTCTGTAGTTGAAGCCGAGTTCGATTCATCGACTGGTGAGCTCCTCGTCAAAAATGAGTTCTTTTGAGGCCTCTGTAGTAGTTTGCCTTGGCCCTTGTATGCTGCTTTGTATACATGTATCCTTATTTGCTAGGTGATAAAATTGATTGATTTATTACTTGATTTTGAGAAATAAACTATATTGTATCTCCAATGTTGCGTGAATTATCCATATGATTCAACCTTTTACATGATCCAAGAAGCATCCCTTCCTGGATTGTTCGACGCTTCTTCCGTATTTATCTTTTGTGATTTGACCTGCAAAGGTCTTGTACTTATATTCGTATCTTGCTATCTCCCACCCTGTGGGATACCTTTGGAAAAAAAAAAAAAAAAAAGCATCCCTTCCTGGAGGTGCTTCAGCTACATGGCAAGGGGTGATCCTATAAGTAGTTGGCCCAAATACACCAGGCACAAAGAATCTTGGCCCAAACCACGCCGTCTCTGTGTTTTCGTTCCTACCTGCGCTGTACAAGTCCGAATCCGAGAGAGAAAAGGAGTATCAACACAAAACATATACACAGAGAGAGGCTATACGAATTACTGTCTATGTCAGTACTAGTACGTGATTACAGAGAGAGGGCAAGATTCAGATTATATTTCGGTCGGCTGCAGGAAATCTATTGCTTTGCAATGTCGTCGTCGTCAAGGGAGCTGTCTGAGGAACTAGTGTTGGAGATTATTTCCCGGACAGGGACAGCGCACGATGTTGTAAGATGCAGCTGCCTGCTGTCTAAACGTTGGCGGAATATATGGCGATCGATCCCCGGCGGGGTCCTGGATTTAGACAAGTCGGACAAGCTACTGCGTGGGCAGAACGAGCTGGTGTTCTGCATCCAACCTGAAGAACAGCAACGATTCGCGAATCGGGTCGACCAAACCCTGACTTCCCTTCCTCATCAAGACCTAGACGCCTTGAAAATAGGGTTCCAACTGGCTAAAAGGGAAGAAGGAGTTTGCAGGTGGATAGAATTCGGGTTTACCAAGAGAGTCAAAGAATTCACCCTATTGTCCTTCCACTCTTCCTCCATCAATCGGCTCTCTTTCCCTTTTTTCACCCCTGAATTCCTCTCCAAGCACGACCTCAGCCGCCTCGAGGTTTTGGAGATCAATGGCGTCTCGGATGTCTCCCAACGAGCAGTCGATCACATCCTCACTAATTGTCTCTCCCTGTGACATTTCATCTTGCCCAGATGTTACTTCCAACCAACCCATGTCGGAGAATTAACAGGTTTAAGAGTCTGTTCTGGCAACAACCTCCAGTGTTTGGACATCGGCGAACTTTGCGACGTTGCTAGGATCGAGCTCATCTCCGCCCCTCGTCTTCGTACCTTCAAGCTCAGAGGGTACAGTGGTTTGTGGGTCGAATACCAGGATGACCTTCCTCAACTTCAGAGACACTGTTCTCTTGTACAAGCTGCTGCTTTTTTCCATGGTCTCGCTATCGGTTCAGCAAGTTTAGACCTCGATTACAGCGCCTTCATATAAATGAATGACGGGTCTCCACATTTCTTGGAAAGCACCGTCCTCCTAAGGGCAGCTCCAATTTTGCATGAGTTATCCATATGGTTCAAGGATCCATCTAATGGGGCAAGCAGATGGGAGAGGCTGCGAAACTGGGATGCAGAGTACATCCAAATCTGAAGCGTGCAACTCTGGATCGTAGTCATCAACTTGAACTTGCTGCTTGCATAATCATGCATGCACCATCCTTGAGCCAAGTCCTTATCAATACTCGTCAGCGAGACCAGCTCCTTGATTCCATTGCCAGAGTCGGGCTTTTCGATCCCATTGATGCTCATATACGTGAAGCCAAAATGGGGTTGGAAACACCTCTTCAAGGCTACTCTGGTACCAACCATATAAATTCCACTTATCGATGACAGTAGTTGTACAAAATATGAACAAAGTTGGCTTTTCATCATATGCAAATGACACAAACATTTATTTGCTCTTCCTTCTTCCCAGATAGTTTTCCCCTCTTTCTTTCAAAAGGTCGGTCATATTTACAGACGTTCAGATGAACCTATCTTAAGGACGTCCTTCGACAAGTTTATATCATACTTTGTTGAATTGCCAGACCCAGCACCATGTGCCACTGGCCTCCCTGAAACATACACAAAAATGGCTTCCTTGGAATAACTTAGAACGATACAAGACAAAATGGAGCATTATTATTCGACCTGTAAATGGATGTCAATCCTCAAAATGCAAACATCTCATGTAATGGCATCTCATCTCCTCCCCAAATTACCTCGGATATCGCATGTGTCCAAAAAGCATGCAAATTTTGCTTTTAGAGGCAACTAGACGAGTTCAATCAGACTAGATGAGCGTGCTGGGGGATTAACAACTCGTCATAATCATCAACAATCACCTAAATCGTGACCAGGACATTGTGTCAATGATTTCAGGAAGATAAGATAAGCTACTTGACTAAGATGGCGGAAGTAGGAAAGAAATGGTGATGATAGTTACCTTGAACTTTTGGCCGCGGTAAGTGTATTCAACAAGCAACTGCTTTGGTTCTCCAGGGGAAGGATCACAGAATCCCATTATCCCCGACTTCTTCACGCCGTTGTGAAGCTATATTGAGCGAGTTCAAAAAACCCGCAAAATTTCAGAAAACAGCTGTGCATAAAATGGGATTTTGGACTAAAAATGTAGTTTAAGACAGTACCTTCAGCTGCCCGGAATCATTGACCAAGAAATTAAGAGGAACTGTGACATCGATGGCTTGTTCTGATGTTGTGCTGCCATTTGGTATTGTTCCGTCTTGTCTTTCCAATACTTTTCGACTTCCATACACTGCACTATCGATGAGCAGCCCGTTTGCTTCTATTTGCTTGGTCTTCTTCCTGTTTGCCACGATTCGTAATAATTGCTGAGATTTCTCTGCTGATATTCTCGCCTCCTGGACCTATAACAAGGAGCATTGAATGTAAAACGTAGGATAGATGTTAAACAACCAAGTAGTAGTAACGAGGATATATAATTTAGTTACCTGTGCCGAAGTTTTTTGTTTATTTTCTAGAGCTTTTCCCTTCTCCCTCCAAAGTAGATAAGGCTTAGCTACAAATTTCTGCACTGACAAGCATAAACATTATGCAAAATTCAACACATGGCATCCTTGGTAATGGACCAGCTCATTGAAATTATTGAGGGTAAGGTAGTAAAACTTGAAGCTATGTGTATTGATACCTCAAACAGGAAGTAGAGAGATGTTGGAACTACAAATGCTCCTATTGCAAAGGCTGGATCGAAATAGGTGGAAAGCAATATCTGACATAAAGAGGTAACATCAGCACTGGAACAGTGAAATATACGAGCACATGTTGAAATGATCACTAACATGTACAATTTGACTTACTGGGATAACTAACTTTTGAGAACCACGGCGAGTTTCAAATCTCCAAGAGATGCCCTGAGAGAAGTAAAAGATAGGACATCTTCAACTACACTGGGAAAGCAACAATTGGCAGAATAACATGGCTACATAGAATAGTAAATGCAAATTCATAGTCCTAAGTGATGGTACCTGAATTCCAATGACATACATCATCCGGACAGTTGTTAAATCAGATATCTTCCTCCCACCGCCAACTTCAACCTCAAGAGTGGTACTGCAATCATAATAAAGAGGTTTTGTTTTAATTAATCCGATACAGCAATCATTTTGTTGCTTCTTCGAATGATTCAAAGTACCCTCTATTTATAGAGTAAGAAAACATGACTCGTGAACAGAAATCATTGCTATGAGCAAATTTCCAGACATAACTTCCAGGAAATTGTAACCAAACACAAGACATAATAACTTGTATGGAGAACAAGCTTCTCTGCTTCGAAGTCTAATGTAGTAAACTCCAAAAATCCCCTCCCTTTCCGACCTCGGTCTGAGAACATAAAAATGCAAAGACATGACACAAACTGTTTATAATTGCAGCTGAGGCCAAATTAGAAGTAATTTTTACAATCATACACACAAGTGAGAAGCAAGAATTCAATCATCAGTTATGACTGCAAGCTTCATAAGTTGAAATTCATTAAGAGCAACAACCTGTTGTATTTTCCTGCAATACGTGCATGAGATTTTGAGGAAAAGTGATGTACATAATGAGCAGATGCCCCCAAATAGCGTGTACCAACCTGCAACAGTTCAAGACCAATAAGAAAAGCAAAATTGAAGGAACGGACAAAATATTGTAGTCTTGCAGGTTAAGAAGCAGCAGAGAAAAGGATAGGAAAACAGAGAGAATGAAGAACCAATGATATGTAAGAAGCAGAAGAAGTGTGTAAATATTTGCACTCCCCTTATTATACAAGAAAAATCACAGGATCTGGGCCCCTTTTAAATTGGAATCAGTTCCATCTCAAGGAACCAAAATTTAATAAGTAGAGGAGACCAGTTCTCATAACAGAAGTCAGGTTTTTCATCCCTAAATAGCTATCGTAGCAGTACCTTCAATTCTCCACCTGCAGAAATTTTATCATCCTTCTTACGCCACCCGACAGCAACAGATGACTGATCACCCAGCACAAATTGTATCTGCCAAAACAAATTTAAAAGCAAAATTTAGAGAGACTAGACACCTATAGAGGATTACTTGTGATAATAGTACTTGTTTCACAAATTTTGTGTTTGGATGTAGTTTTCTTAGTCTGAGCCTAAATACGCATACGGTCTTTTAAAAACTTAGTTCACTACAGCTATAGGTCTCACAGATACTTAGTTCAATGCAATTATGGATATTAACAATGACTAAGCAAAAGAACAAAGAGGATTACATTCCCATTAGCCGTTGAAGACAGCTGGTGAGTCCAGGTGTTAGAGAGATTGATTGAGCCATCCTGCAAAGACTTTCGGATGCCAATTGTAGCGGTTGAATGTGAAGAAACATAGCTGGCCAAAAATAATAAATAAGTGATTGAAGAAGTTATGTGAAACTAATTATAAAGCAATATTCTTCATGAGAATTCCTCACGAATGTTCATACCGAGTTGTTTGTACACCAATCACTGATTGTAAACCAACTTGAGCAAGAAATTCTATCGATTGAGCAGAAGAAAGTTGATGTCGAAGTACAGTTGAAGCAGCTGTACCCGCACCATGGTTATTAACTTCCAAATTTCCACCCATTGCAAGATTTGTATGCTTCGACAATGTTGTATTAACTTGACTAGACATAGCCATTCTGAAAATATATATATCAGATCTTAGAACAAGTCCGGTTAACAAGCATATCAAATGACATAGTTCGGTCCAGAAAAAGTTTCAAAGTGTGATACTGGCAAAAGCAATGGGGGGAAGTGATTTACCCACTCATGATGCCATCACCATCCAGAACCTGAGGCAAGGACAGATTAGTCACTACTATACCAGAAGGTATGAACTGTGCTGCCATCTTTTCTTCCTCCTTCTTCTGCCGTAATCTCTCGAGCTCTTCCTTTAACTCTTCAACTTTATTCGTCCTTGTTGCAAGTTCCAAACCAGCACTCAAACCTTCCGGACCATATATATCATATATCTGCCTTTTAGTCTCATCTGATAGCACTTCGTACGCTTGACATATCCTTTGGAAGTTCTCAGTTGCTGTCTCCTTCATCTGCTACCAACACAGCAATTGGCTTCCTTTTCAAATCCTATCTCATTACACCAAGGCATTTCCAACAGTACAAAATTACCCAAACGGCAGATCCAATTATTCAACAGAAGCAGGGCGAAAAGAGTGAGACTTTCGGGGTCATAACCCAGAAAGAAACCGACCCAAAAGCTTGAAAACACGCTAACGTAGACCGCGCAGCTAAAATCATTCAACTTTCTTCTTGAATTTGAAACAGCTGGGGGACAAAATTTGTCAACTTACCTGAACGTCTTGGTACTTGTCGGGATGATAAACCTGAGCCCAGTGGCGATAAGCCCTTTTGATTTCTTCGGTGGTGGATTCAGGGGAGACTTGGAGCACGGCGTAGAGCTCTCTGTTGGGAGCTCCTCCATCTTGCTCGGCATTCATCTCTTGGATCCCCCAATTGGAAAAACCCAGACGGCCCAAGTTGAATTATTTTTCCGGTAGCTAATTATCTAGTTGCCCAGAGTTTCGGAATATGTGAGGCGGGGGAAATTCTGGGGTTTTAAGGGTTTTGGGGAGGTTTTAAGGAGGGAGGGAGGGACGACGTGGGCCGGAATTTCGGTGACCGTCGGCAGCGGAGCATTTGCTGCTGATGATACTGGAACTGGCTTGCCGCCTACGGCTTTCAGCTGACGACGGTCGATTCCCACATTGCTGCTGCGTTTTCGGAGTTCTCATCCGCTTGTGGTTTTGTGGGCTTTTTTGGGGTTGTGGACTCTATTTGGGCTTATTCTTTTCTATTTCAGGTCTACGGGCTTGGTATCTGTATAGGGGGCCTCATTGTCAGATGTCCAGAAAACCAATCACTACTATCTACTCATCACCCCTTTGTCTATAAAATAAAAAAATAAAAAACTCATCACCCAAGTTGAAGTTCGAAGGAAGCTTCTTCCTTGTTTCAAGTTTGATCAGACTAAGGACGAATAGGACAAGTGATCTGAGAATAACTATACTTGCTTTTAGAATTGCAAATGAGTCAACTAGAAACGAATTTTACCTTAGATTGAGCTCAGCTCGTTAATAAATGAGTTGAGCTCGTTCTCGATTCGTTTATTAACAAGCGGAGTCAAGTCAACTTCAAGCTAGTTTGTTTACTAAAATCTTGACTCGTAAAAATATATTTATTTTGTATGTCATATATGATATAATATGATTAATGTCAAGATGAAAAATAATAATAATTGTTAAGTGTTCAATATTAACTATTCTCATGTTATACTTTGTGGTGTCATATTATTTAGTTAATAAATTCGTCAAAAATTATGTTATTTCATAGTATTGAGGCAATATAGGATACATAGTTTATTTTTAAAATTAAATAAGACATATTTGCTCACATAATCTACGTGTTAAACTTCATATAGGGTGAGCTAGATAATTTAACAATCCTATGAATTATCAAGCCACAATGTTGAGAATTGAGACATCTCATGAGCTCTAAACGAGTCAGCTCACGAGCGGAGCTCAACAACCACCGAATCGAGCTTGCTCGCGAGCTATAAAAGACTTAGGGGTCGTTTGGTATATGCGTATCTAAACGATACATTTAATGAATGCATGTATTGTATAGAATGCATCATTTTTTTGTGTCAAAATGAAAAACAATACATGCATTTCATTGATGATGTGTTGGGATGGCAACAAAACCCGAACCCACGGGTACCCACCCGATCCAACCCGGTCAACGCGGGTAAAACCCGTGTTGACGGGTTTTGGGCCGGGTTCGGGTTTAAACCCGCTACACTCTTCACCGGGTCGGGTTGGTTTTGGGTTTAGGTAAACCCGCCCCATGGGTACCCGCCCACACATATAATTACTTTCCCGGTATATTTAATATTCTAAATAATATATCTTCCTTAAACAACTAATATTCTTTATGTTTGTGGAGACATGTATAATTTGTTCTTTCTAATTGTTTAGAATGAAGTTGATGTTATGAAGTGAAGAATGAAGAAACTTAGTTGACGAGGAAGAAGTTTTCAATTAATCTTATTGTTTATAGATGTTTATCTTTAATTTTGAACAATTTGTATTGATCATTTGCGGTTTGCTTGTATGCTCTAGATTAGTGTTTTTTGTATGATTAATTTGTATGAGAAAATTGATGTTAAACTTTTATTTTGAAAGAAACTTGTTATTGTAAATTTTTTACTAGAAAAACCCACGGGTACCCATGAACCCGTGGATACCCAGTGGGTTGGGTTGGGTTTGAGTTTTTCAAACCCAACGGGTTTTACCCCGGGTTTTTTTGGCGGATAAACCGATGGGTTTGGATTTGACAAAACCCGCCCCAACCCGACTCATTGCCATCCCTAATGATGTGACACTTGAAATCATTCAATATGAATGATTTACAATCTCAAAATTTGGTGAGATTGTTGAGATTGTGTTTTGAGATTGTTCTTCCATTTTTCTTTCCCTTTATATCCCCGACAACTTTTATACATTGTTACTCTTCTATGTAAAAGAAAGGGTAAACATGACATTTCACTTAAAAAGTAATTTTCTCATTTTATTCCTAAAATTACAATCACAACTACCAAACAATGTAATTTTATAATACATACATTTAAACAATACATCAACTTACAATGCAAGTATTCATACAATACATCAATTCTAACAATCACAAATACCAAACGACCTCTTAGTTCAAGCTCAACTCGTTAATAAATAAGTCGAGTTTCGAACGAACAGCTCTGCTCATGTGCAACCCTACTTGCTTTCCTTGTTTGGTGGGCTGAAAATTAGTGTATAAATACTATTCATCTCGGTGAATGGCCCATGTTAACTTGGACCTGCTTTTGACGTACTACAGACTACAAAGCTATCTTTTTGACCTATTGACAAAAAAATTCCCCATTCTTTTGAACCATTCTTTTCTGCCTGGGGAGGGGACCATGTTGACTAGTTGAGCATTGAAGCTTAGGTGTTTTGGAAAGGTTTCGGGTCGTTGATGTTTGATTGGAATATCGAAATTACAATTGTGTTCATAAAAATTAAAAAGTTACTAACTGGTGAGGTAAGGACTATTAGTAGTTCTCTTTCAAGATACAGGTTTAGGACCCCACAAGTTTATGCAATTTCTTATGTCTAGTCCCTCATTAGAAGTGGACAAAGTGAGCATTAAGAGAGAAAAAATGAATTACAAAATACTTTCAATTAATTATTCAAGTTGACACATCTTTATTCGTACAAAATAGACGAGATAAATTCTGATAAGTTACAAAACGTTTTTACACTCATTTTAACAATAACTTGAATTTGGAATTGTCAAATGCTATACTTGGTCATCCTGCTTTATTTTTAACATGCTTGAATTCGTATGTTCCATCCAAAAAAGAATTAAAGGATAGTCCTTTGACCTAGCTAACCCTTCTATACACTTTCATCTCTACGTTCATCCGATTACTAAAAGAATGAACCAAATCCAAAATATAAAATTATTAAACCGATCACAAGAATACCCGCTACAATGCCTATTATTCAAAGAGGAATCCTTCCGAGTCAAAGAAAAAGATGGAATGGAAGGTGGTGGAGTGATTGGATGGCATGGCAGGGAAGGTTTCAGAAGAAGGCGCAAAATGGCAAAGCACACCATACGCGTGGGGACGGGCCGCCAATTCACGCCAACCAACTTGCAAGTAAGTAACTGCTCCTCGTCAAAACTCAAAACATCCACCGGGGAAGAAGAAAGCGATCCACTTTCAGTTCGGGCCAAAACGAATGAATATTTTCCCTTCTAAATGGGTTTGACCATTTTTAGTTAACGGCCGCCATGGCCCGCCATGCATCATATATGGTATATGCGGCTATGATATTAAAATGGTAATTATCTTTCATATAGATCCACTCTTTCTTAAGAAACAAATCATATAGCCTCCATGCAATCAATACCATAAAAAAGTGTGATTCTACGTAAAAGTATTTCGGTGATATACAAGCGTAAAAGCGTACGATTTAACACAGAGATTCACTATATTACTTAGAAAAAGCGCAATTCTACGTAAAAGTGTTATGGTGATTAAGAAGCATAAAAACGTGAACTTTTACGTTTAAAGCATGCTTTGACGACATTTTTTAATGTAAAAAAAAATATGAATATGTCAATGTTAATTAAATATTTTTAAAGATATTGTTTGGACAAGTGTGCAGGGAGAATGAGAAATATATAGGGTTTTAAGAGATAAGTATAACGCTTGAGTTACATGAATGATTGAAGTGGTGACGTATGTGGGAGTGATCTAGAGTATACTCGTAGTGCGCAATCGGATGGTTTCATTATGAATACTTCATACTGCAAACCAAAATTGAAATCATGACTTCTTTTTGACGATTTAGGGAAACACATAGCCAACAAAATTATGATGATCAAAACAATAAGATGATTCGAATTCAATTGGATACACACAAGCAACTAAAGGATGGGTGTTTACTTGTATTAATTGCCATCCTTAGTGATCCTTTTTTTTTCAGTGGGCGACTCGCCGATGACTGGGTTCAGTGAGTCCGACATAGTAGCTTGAGAACGGGTCCTCCGATCCGATGACTCCTCTACTCGGTTATTATATGCAGTCATCACACAATGCGGCTAAGCTTGTTTTCAAGTCCCTCCCACCTTATTTAATAACTTAAAACTATTATATTTATTGGGTAATGACTTATTAGACAAAGCTTAAGCATTGTTCAGCCAAGACGAGACCGAGTCTCTTTCACCTCGTCAAATATTTTATTATGTTTCGCGGCCTGAATGTAACCAACACATCTAGCGACGTGGTCATATACACAATTTTTTAGTACTTTTAGTGTACAGCGAAACCTTTATTAAGAGTTCTAACTAGGGGAGGACAATGGACAGGGCGAGACGGGTGACCCTCTCGCTTACTAGCGAGTTGGTACAATTTTGATCTATCATTCACTTATATTCTTCGGATTGGATTGGGTGACTAACAGATGAGTATGTTTGGGTTATGGGTTAACCCGCAAAAGCAATTCTCTTACCCGTCAATAAGCAAATCGACTCACATTTCTAATGAGTTTCTCACAAATTAGTAAGAATCTAACAATTTAGACTCCAGTTTTTGTTTTTTGGATTCGTGCAGTATATGGATCAAATCTTGTGTAGATAAATTAAAATTAATGTTTTTTTTTCCAGTTTGGCTACGCTGGCTGTCTTGACATTTGACAAAGAGGAAAACGACATGAATGCTTAATTAATTAGATAGAACGCGATTGAAGTGCAGGCAGGTGTTAATAAGGCCCATTTGTTGTAGATAACTGAGTCATGCTCAGCTCAATAACATCAAGTGAACTTGTATCGGTATCTTGATTTAAATAGTTTTGGATAATAATAATAATAATCCCAATTAATTGGTAATTAACTGCTCTAACCTGGCAAACGGGAATTCCACGTTAATCCCTAAACAAGTCAATCATCTCATCAAGTCAACGCATTGATCAGGTTTTGGAATCTTTTTCAGTTTTGAGGAATATGAATGATCCATATATTAAACTCCTGTAAAGTTTTTATTTGCTCTCTTGCGGTAATTATTTAGCAAAAATGATACTTAAAAAAACATTTTGTACTAACAGTATTACAGTATTGAAATCCTCGATCTTCAGATAATTAATTATATTATCTGCGTGCAAGTCGGCCGATTCCATATACATAGAGATAGAGCCGGCGGCTGAAGATACCTCCTCTATATAAGCCGGCGGTGAATCCTTAATTACGTTG